TGATGGCAGGCAGGATGGAGTTCAGTGTTATGGAGCTTTGGGAGGAACTGTGGACATCCAGCTGATGGACAACACCTCAGAAATGTCGAGATTCCAGTTGTTAAAGAATTCATTAAAAATACTACATGTGAGAAATAATGAGGTGATTCCTAATATCACAGAAAGGAGCTCTGCCTTAAATTCCAGTTATAGAACATTTAGGATCAATAACCTGAGAAGGAATGACAGTGGTAATTATACACTTCAAACCTTTGATTCAGATGGAAGAATATCAGACGTGTGGACTTTACAATTGTTTATTCAAGGTAATGTTTTCCCTGTTGGAAAATGCTAACATTATAAGTTATGAATTAATCTATAAATTAAATTATAATTTTAATCTATAAAGCATATCTTATAGAAATTTTGGATGCCTATATGTTATTCTTTAACTTTAGAACGATCAAGATTCTGGTTTTTAAATCTTAACTCATCTGTGTGTGTTTCTCTCAGCTCCTGTGTCCTCTGTCCTGCTGCTCTCTGAGTGTCTGTCCCAGGGAGAGATGAGGGTGTCCTGCTCCTCTGAGGGAGGGGACAGTCCTCAGTACAGCTGGACTCTGGATGGATGCACACTGACAGATGCTGAGCTCCTTTCTGGAAATAATGAGACTAACAACATCACTCTGAAACAGCACGTCTCAGGACGTCTGGTCTGCTCAGTCAGGAACAACGTCAGTGATGTCTCCAAAGAAAAGAGGATATCTACCTGCGGTGAGTGAGAACACTGTGACAATGACAACTTTAATGATTTTGGTCATTTTGTTTTTCACCAAGTATATGTTTCTACTCATAGGCTTCATTTTCATTAACTGCACCTTAGTCAATGGCACACAGATATCAGGGTGGGTGCATGAAGCCAATTACACCCTGTGTATTGAACCAACAACACAACCTACACGAGAACAAACAATAGAGTCTACACAAAGCAGCATAGTGTCAAAGAAACACTCCACTAACAGCAGTGATGAACCATGGAACATTAGTAAGTGGGAAATAAAAACTCTGTAGATCTATGTGTGTAATTTTCCTCTTCCTTCTTGTCCTTTTTTATAAGAACATACTGTGTGTTTGCTGACTCAAACATCTGTTTGTTTCGAACAGGATATTTCCCACTGGTCGGTGTTGTTCTCTCAGCAGCTGTAATTTACTTAGTTGTTGGTGTAGCGCTCATCTCTGCTCAGAGGAAAAAGCAAAACAACAGACCTACTAAACCAAAAAGTACAAAACTTATTTTTTCCTCAGTCACTTGCTCGGGTTAGTGTACCTTTTGGATTTTGTTTTGTTGTTGTTGTTGTTGTTGTTGTTAAATATACATCATAATTTTTGTTTAATAAATGTTTTTGCTGCTTTAGGTTGAGTTTATTGATGCATTTGTCATATGTAAATGTAATTTTTGGTTGTTGCTGATCAGCTAACTTTAATACAACAACTACAAAGAAGGAGAAACAGCTCTCTCCAAAGATAAAACTACATTTCGCTACTGGAACATTTTTGTGTGAACTTTGATCCGCGTCTGACAAATCATTTCACATCGTCTCCAGTCTTTGTGCTAAAATGAAACAGCTGTTGCCACAGCAGACATGACAGTGAACATTTTTATTTCACCCCTATCAAAAAAGCAAAGAAGTCTCACAATTTCTCACATTTCTTGCTAATTTGCAGATGAAGAAGGTGAAGATGAAGTAACCTATGCTAATCTAGAGGTCATGAAACTGCAGGAGAAACGAGTGGAGCAAACAGCAGAGGTGGAGGCAGAGGTGGAGGCAGAGGTGGAGAATGGCCAAGTCCGGTTTTCAAAGCTGCCTCAGCACACTGAAACTACAGCAGACGATTGCTTGTATGCCAGGGTTCATAAAGTCAGGTGAATTAAGAGTTTCTATGCAACATAACCACTGAAGAGCCACAGACGGAGGTCTTGTTGTCAAGATGTATGAATATCTTTCATTTATTGTGATTTTCAGTGTACAAGCTTTTCAACCACAGCTTTTATGAGTGGGGGTTTTTGTGTTCTTTTTTGTATTCTGTTAAAGATCTGAGATTTCCTCCTGTTATCATTTAAGTGAGACTAGTTTTTAACTTGTCTTGTTAGAAAAATAAGGCAACATTGAAAAACTGAATTTTTGGACAAATTTCACTGCAGCATCACAGAAAAAGAGAACATGGTGTTAAAAAAATCTT